CCGCAGACTTGGAGAGAAAATCCTGCGATGACAGCCATGGTAAACGTCATCAAGGGAGGCGCGGCGGCTCTCGACGTCGCAGGCGCGGTAAGACCAGCGGACGTGGCAACCACGGGTGGGAGAAGAAGCGGCAGCGAGGGGGGTTAGAGGACCGACGCCGCACCAACAGCTCCAAGGATCGGGCATCCAGGGGCAAGCAAAAGGGATGGAAGTCGAAGGATGATGACGACGCCTACGGGAATGAGCAAAGCGACTCAGAGAGTGAGTCCGCGGGGGAGCTCGAGCCCTGCCACAAGAAGCGTCAACGCGGCGGCGACCGGAGCAACGTGTACGCAAAGGCGGCCTCATCCAGTGATGAGGAGGAGGTGGTTGCCCAGTGGAAGCCTAACAAGAGCGGAAAGGATGCACTGGACAAGTACCCGAGGGGATCCAAGAAGGCGGACTCAGGTTACGGAGGGGAGGACAACGATGAGGAGGCGTCGGAGAAGAACCCACCCAGGGTTCGCGAAGCTGCGAACGAGCGTCGCCCGTGGCGTGGCGGGAACAATGCTCAGAGTGGCAGCGAGTTGCGTATCAGTGTGGCGGACACACGTGGGCGCGCGGCGGGTCATGCTGGATTGGAACGCCGGAAGCAGCAAAGTGATGATGGCCGTGCTGCTGGTGGGATGTGGGCATGCGCCACGGGGGAGTATGGGCCTGAGGGGAACCATCAGACACATCAGCATGCCACCACAGGTTCTCAGCGCAAACGCGCTGCGGCCGAGTATGAAGGCGCTGGCGGGCATGACGGGAAGCGTCGGCGGCCTGAGGGTGAGGACTCCAAGGGGGGGCGCTTCTCCTGGGAAGACATTGCGGATGCAGAAGAGATGCCGACCTACGTGACACCACAACTGCTGTGGCGGGCGTTGAGGGAGGCCATAGGGAAGATCCAGGAGTTTAAGGGAGAGCGGGATTGAGGCCTTCCGCGACTCGCTTCCGCATCCAGCGGCCCCGATACCGGCACGGATCTGGTGGGCGAGAGCACGGGGATGGCAGTGGTGCAACGGAAGAAGGGCATGCCCTCGCTGAAGAAGATTGGGGTGAGTCATCAATGAATCGCTCTTCCTTGCAAGGCAAGACTTGCATGTCGACTTGGTGTCCATTGCTTGTACGTGCCCCACTTACAACCGCTCGGCTGGCCTGACAGAATCTGGTGACAATTTCCTTTGCGTTGGATCTCGTCATCCTCAGGCCCGTGCGACCCTCTCCCTCCTGCCCTTGTCCACAGGTTCTCTCCATCCAGCGCATGGCCCCAAGTTCTCCTCCTCGTGAGCTTGCCCTGTATGTCCTTTCCCCCCTTACCCTCTCCCCCCTGCCCCCGCCCACAGGTTCTCTCCCTCCTGCCCTTACCGTGAGATATCTCCCTCATGGGAATGCCATGTATGCTCTTGGCCACCGACCCTCTCCCCCCTGCTGTTGCCCACAGGTTCTCTGTCTCACCCCCATTCTGCCCACAGGTTCTCCCCCTGATGTCGATGCCCTCATTGCCTTTGCCTGCCTACCCTGTCCATCCTGCCCTTGCCCACAGATCACTCACATGCCATTGGCCGGTGGTTGTCCACCTCATGACCTTGCCCTGTGTGCCCTTGCCCGCCCACCCTCTCCTTCCTGCCCTTACAGACAGGTTCTCTCCCTCTTGCCCTTCTCCACATGTTCTCTCCCTCCTGCCCTCTGTCCGCAGGTTTGCTCGCTCATGTCGTTACCCTGGATGCCCCTGCCAGCCTACCCTGTTCCTCGTGCCCCTATCCACACGTTCTCTCCATCCTTTCATTGACCTCGAGATCTCTCCCTCATGTCGCTGCCCTTGCCCGCCTACTCTCTCCCTCCTGCCCCTTCCCACAGGTTCTCTGCCTCTGGCAACAAGGAGTACTTCTCCCTCCATCCTTTGCATGTTTGTTCCCCTCCCTCCCACCCATACCCATAGCTTCTCTCATTCCTGGTGTGGCACACAAGTTCTCTCCACATCTCACCTGCTTTTTGGCATCTGCTTTGCTGCCATTTCCCCTCCGTCTCCCCATGCCTCTGGTTGTCTGTCCCCGCCCTCTCTCCCCCCCCATTCCCCCCCCCCCCCCCGACGCCCATCCGTCCACAGATCCATTACGAAACCTCGCGCGACCGGATGTGCATCGATGCGCCTGATGCGGGCATTGACTTCTACACGACCTTCTACCTCCGCATGGTGGACCTTCACACGGTTTTGGTGATGGAGGGCTACGACGTGTCTTTCGTGGCTGTTCAGGAGGCAATGACCGACAACAACTACAACGATAAGTTCAAGCGTGTATGGACGCAGTGGAAGAACGAGCGGGGGTTCCTGATCAAGAGGCGGGTGTTGACGGAGCTAGGGGTGAAGGTCAAGTGGGCGAGGGGCTCCAAGATCCATGTGGACCTTGATGACAAGATGGCCCTCTGGCATGACTTCAAGCCTCGTAAGTACTCATGTAGCTGCGCGGTCACAGTTGTTTAGTAGGGCGCATGTCATTGAAGTTAATACCTCGTGTTCACTCCCCATATCCTCACACCATTTGAGCATCATGCACCTCCATCTGTGCTGCCGTTACCCCCAACAGGAAGGAGGTTTGGGCAGTTGGTGAGCACCTGGGGCTCGGCGAAGCCACCCCCAGGGGTGCACTCCGGGCAGCCTTTTGCCAACAAGATCTTCTTTCAGGCGGCGTTCGATGCGTTTCAGCAGTGGGCTGTGGCGGGGAAGCTCTGTCTGAAGGCGTATCACATTGCCTGGATTATCATGGTGGTAAGTGGCGGGGAGCGCGCCTTAAAGGACGCCGTGGCTTGGGCTCTAGTATCCTCCCGATTGTGCTCGGCTCATGCAACCCCATTCCCGTCCCCCACCTCCCTGACCCTTTTACAAACCCCCTCGGCCACCCTCTTCCCCAGGTCGACTATGGGCTGACCCGCCGCAGGCACACCACGATGGGCCTCTCTAACTCACACCCCAAGAACAAGGCCTGGATAACGGACCTTCACAAGAGGGTGCGACAGGTGGTCATTGACCACTTCAGCAACTACCCCAAGGAGTACAGCAAGGACATGCGGGGGTGGAAATGGGGAGAGTATGGACTTTACGTCCATGAGAGTGGCTTCAAGGACGAGTGGCAGGAACCAGGGAGGGAGGGCAAGGGGAAGGCGCCCAAAGGTGGAGAGGGAGAGGCTAAGGATTAAGGGTCCTTTTGCAGGGGTGAGGCAGGTATGTGCAGGGGTGGCATCACCACACCGTTCAGGGCAGGGGACGGATACAACTGGGACGGAAGTGGAGCCAAGTATTGGCGTGGGCTCTGGAGGGAAGGGTCTGTCAGCATCATTCTGAAGGGGCAGCCATCCCACAATGGGAGGGGCTTATTGCAAGCGCCAGTACTGGCGTGTGCTGGGTTCATAACCATGGGGTGTTTGCAGATGCATGATGTGGCAGCGTCGTTTGAGGGGTGGGGTGCTGGCAGCGAAATGATGTGAAACAGGTGGGCTGGGCGGGTGGTGTGCGGGGCTTTCAGGACCAGCAGGTTGGGGTGGGGGCGCTCGAGGGCGGGTTCCTTTTGAGGGATGTGAGTGGCCTTGACATTTGGGTATCACACTATAGTGGGTATTGATAAAGCCGCTCACAGCAGCGGCAAGAACTGGAAGTTGTGGTTGGGAGCATTTGTGATATGAGGCACCGGCAGCAGCGCATGAGTGGGTTCGGCATCAGGCTGTGGTGGGGGGGGGGAGTTAAAGGGTTGAGGCAACAGCGGGCGCGAGGAATGGATATGAGCATCAGCTTGGGGAGGGGGGGGATAGGGGACTGGGGGATGAGGCACAGGTGGCAGCAGCAAGGGAGGGGTCTCAGCAGCAGCCTGTGGTGGGGGGAGAGGGGATTCGGGGAATGAGGCACAGGTGGCAGCAGCAAGGCAGGGGTCTCAGCCGCAGCCTAGGGTGGGGGGAGGGATTCGGGGAATGAGGCACAGGTGGCAGCAGCAAGCGAGGGGTCTCAGCAGCAGCTTCGGGTGGGGGGAGAGGGGATTTGGGGAATGAGGCACAGGTGGCAGCAGCAAGGCAGGGGTCTCAGCAGCAGCCTTGGGGGGGAGGGGGGAGAGGGGATATGGAGAATGAGGCACAGGTGGCAGCAGCGAGGGAGGGGTCTCAGCAGCAGCCTGTGGTGTGGGGGGGGGGGGGGGGAGGGGGGGTTGTGGGATGAACGAACCACAAGCAGCAGCAGGGCCAGACTCATACCTTGGTGGTTAGCTAGGTTTATCATAGCTGCAGCGGCAGCGGTGGGAGTAGGTGGGGGCTTGCAGCAGCAGTATGTGCTCTCTCAACGAGGAAGGAGGGGGTTGATGCCATCGTACGGGTCGTTTCCGATTTACTTCCAGGGTAGTGGTCCTTTTGTCCGGATGCGGTTGGTAGGGCGATCACAGCTTGGATGCGGGTAGAGGTCTAAACCCTGAGATTTTGTGTCACTGATGTGTTTTCTTGTGACACTGATGTGTTTCTTCTACTGGCCATCTATACCAATTAATGAGCCTAATATCTGTGGCAATGGAGTACTAGCGGATGTGGCAGTAACGGATATAGAATGTACCAAAAAAAGGACAACAACACGCCTCAAACACAATGAATAGATGTAAGCGTGACGCGAACAAACTTGTAATGGTCTTCGTGCACAGTACAAAAGTTCTCTTCCAGCATGACCGCATGGTGACGTGGAGGTGTTATCGCGTACGACCAAATAACATCAGCGCGGTGTCGGCAAACCATCTGCGTGGCGTTTGACAAACCATTTGAGTGGTGTTTGACAAACCATCTGCGAGGTCTTTCCAACTTACACCGCGAAGTGTTTGGACCCACCAATTTGGAAACCACCTGAAAGGTGTTCGCAACAACACTGCGCAAATGCTTTTCGGACACTGAATTTTTGCGATGCACGTTGCTGACTCTATTTTCGTTTTGTAACGTGGTAACCCGACGGCCTCGCGCAGGTGGTGCTGCTGGGATTGGTGGAGAGCTACCGCGTGGGCGGGCTGGAGGGATTCCAGGAGGTGGACGACCCGATCTACCCGGGCGGAGCGTTCGACCCGCTGGGGCTGGCGGACGACCCCGACGCGTTTGCGGAGCTGAAGGTGAAGGAGCTGAAGAACGGGCGGCTGGCGCAGGTGGCGGTGCTGGGCTTCTTCGTGCAGGCCATCGTCACCGGCAAGGGGCCCCTCGAGAACCTCGCCGACCACCTCGCCGACCCCGCCGCCAACAACGCCTGGGCCTACGCGCAGAACTTCGTGCCCGGCGCCTAGAGAGGAGCTGTTTTCGCCGCCGAGAAGATGACGCGCCGAACTTCGTGCCTGGCGCTGTGAGGGCGGAGTTCAGAGAACATAGCGGCTGGTGCTTCTTTGATTGCTCTTATTTGTACAGCCCGCTTTGATGTATGTATAGTTGAAATGCTAAATCAAATAGCTCAATCAATCCTTAGTTTAGGGCCCTAGAACACCAGCATCCTCAGCTGCCTTGGTGTTGCACACGGCCAGTTGCTGTTGAGAGGAGCCCATTGCGGGGCATTGCTCCTGATATGCACAAACCAGTAAACCACAGCCATTGCAAGTGGGGCACAATGACCAATCCCAACACATGCATAACTACCACAGCAGATTGAAAGGCGACTATCATAGCGAGTAAAGCAGCATCTGTAACCCCACCACGAGCATGCACCATCCATTCATGCCCACATATCCATCCACCTGTCCCCATCTCTGCTGACGCTGCTCCTGCACTCATTCCCAGGAATGAAGGAATACTAAGAGCAAGAGGAGAGGAGGAGGGGCAATCAGTGGCAGTGGTAGTGGGAAGATTTCGGGTGCAGCAAGCAGGTATAAGGATGCGCATCACACTGTATTGCTGGTCCTCATGCCATGCCGGGAGATAACAGTATAAGGATGCGCATCTGTGCATTCCTGAGAATGGCAGGGCATGGAGAGAAGCCTCACGAAAGGCATGCAGTAGCAGTGGTTGGCACACCAGTGCGTTCGATAACGTTGAGAGATCAACACAAAAGTATGGATGAACCAACATTAAGAGGCCACGCGTGCATGCACACATGCCCACACACCACACATGCGCACGGAATTTCTAGCTGACAACCCAGCAGAGTCCATAGTGGCAGTGAGGGAGAAACGGAAGAGAAGAGTGGAGAGGAGGGGATGGGAGGGAAGGAAGGAAGGAAGAACAAAACGGACGAATGACGAACAGCAATTGTGCAGATAGCAACGACTCTGCAAAACCAAGGGGCAGAGAAAATCAGCCCATAAGGAACCCGATCAACAGAAAACGATGAATGAGCAATCAGAGAGCAAAGTTGCAGCCCATAGTTGTCTGAATGCCTTCGAACACTCGCCATACCATCATGCTGCTGCTGCCGAAGCTGCTGTTGCATTTTTTCCTCCGTTGCTGAAGCAGCCACTGCTGCTGCAGCTCCTGTGCCCGGCCTGCGGGCGCTGACAGTGCTCGTTGTGACTGGATTCTCCATCAACTATCATCTCGAGAGAATTTCAGCGTGAACAACCTCTCAAGCCCCATGGTTTGAAGAAGAGACGAGGAAGCCCTTGGGGTGAGCCAGCGACTCTGCTGGTTGCCTTAGCTCCAGCATGGCTTGCCTTTCCTGCTAGCCAGTGCATCCCTGTGCAGACACAGCAGGCCTAAGAGGAGGAGGCAGGAGGATGGAGGGAGGGAGAGAGGGAGAGAGGGAGGGAGACACGGGGAGGTAGGGAAGGAACGAAGAAGGTCAGTTCCATACTCTCACTGCCTGTGAGGTCTCACCAGTGAGCGTGAGAGGAACATGGGATGAAGGAAGTGCAGCAGAGATGAGAGGACAAGTCAGAAGCGGCAGAGGCATGAGAGGGAGAGAATGATAGGCGTCACAAACCTAGAATTGAATAATGATAGAGTTAGAGAGTACATGCACATATACCTAAATGTTGTACCCTCTAGGAGGTTACCCTATACAGTCTATACAAACATGATCAATAAACATGTTTGACACACCCCCTGGACTGCATAGGGGAATGTCCTAAACAAGCAGCTCAGGGCGGCACTACTAGTCCAGCCTCTGAGACAAGGGTCTAAAAGACCAGTCAGAAGGAGTACAGACAAGACAAGAACAAGTACAGGGCGGCACTACTAGTCCAACCACTGTGAGAGGACACAAGTCCAGTCTGAGTGTACACATATATATAGGACAGTACAAAGTCAAGGCCCGAGTAAGTGAGGGACTACAGGAACCAGACCAAGCTGTACACAGTGCCGCTGATGATCTTTAGGCGCAAGCGCCTTCGTAAAGATATCAGCTGTGTTGGCACCGGAGGCCAAGTGTACTACGCGAGCCTGGCGACGCTGCTGGAGCTCGCGCAGGAGGAAGTACCGCAGCTGGATGTGCTTCGCTCTACCCTCAAGTCGAGGCTCCTGACACAGGAGGATCATGGCCCTGTTGTCAGCGTACAAGACCGGGGCAGAGCTAGGCCGCTCACCTAAGTCAGTGAGCAAGAAGGTCAGCCAGCGGAGCTCCTGTGCCGCCATGGCACCGGCGTAGATCTCAGCCTCACAGCTGGACTGGGCAACAGACGAGGAGCAAGTAGCTCTCCACGAGACAGCACCTGAGCCAAGGCTAAAGCAGTAGCCCTGGGAAGACCTGAGCGTCTCGGCGTCGTCTGCCCAAGAAGCGTCTGTGTGTCCAGTAAGGACCACTGGCCTGCGTCCGCCTAACACTAACCCCATGCCCGATGTACTTGCAAGATAACGCAAAAACCTCTTAGCGGCAGACCAGTGCTGAGGTCGGTGTCTGCCTGTGGCCACGAAACGAGCCAGGATGCTGAGAGGGTATGCGAGATCTGGGCGAGTGCAAGTCATCAGGTACATAAGGCAACCCACTAGCTCAGCGTAAGGACCACTGGGATCTACCGACTCCTCAGGAACTGGAGCGGAGAGTCTGTGGTCCAGAGGAAGAGGGGTGGGCTGTGCGGAGGAGAACTGAAGGCCGAACCTCTGAAGGACCTGGCGCACCAAGTGTGACTGAGTCAGGGTGATGGTGCGCGCGGCTCTGTCCCTGGAGATCTGCAAGCCAAGGTAACGGCGCAGCTCTCCAAGGTCAGTGCAGGTGTGTCTCTTCAGCAGCTCTGCCTTCACGGAGGCCAGTGCGTCCCTGTCAGCTGTGGCAAAGACCAGGTCGTCTACGTAGACAAGGATGTAGAACGGGGTCGGGCCAGCACGAACGAAGAGCGAGGGGTCTGCAGAGGACGGAAAGAACTGCAGGTCAGCAAGGGTAGCACGCAGCGTGTCGTGCCACTCACGAGGCGCCTGGCGCAGGCCGTAGACTGGACGCCGCAGAAGCCACTGGGTCCCAGGGGGGAAAGTGCCAGTAAAGCCCTGAGGACGACGCAGGTAGACCTGCTCGTGAAGGCTGCCATGAAGGAAGGCAGTGGAGAAGTCGAGCGAGTGAAGCTCGTAGTCACGCTGAGCCGCTACGTGTAACAGAACCCGAAGAGTAGTCATCTTCGGCGTAGGAGCGAAAGTCTGAAAGAAGTCCACCCCCTCGCGCTGACTGAAGCCTCTAGCCACGTAGCGCGCCTTGAACACAGGCGGCTCTCCAGGAGGGCGCTTCACCTTGAAGAGCCAACGGCCATCGACCACGTTCACCCCAGGTGGGGGAACTGCGTCGACGAAGGTGCCGGTGGATCTCCAAGATGCGATCTCCTGTTCCATGGCAGCTATCCACTGAGAGGCCCAGGGTCCCGAAACCGCCTCAGCGTAAGTACGAGGGGTCGGGATGTCGAAAGCGTCTGGGTCACCCTCAGGGACTAGCAGCATGGAACAGAGATGGGGAGCAGCCTCGGACAGGAAAGCAAGCTCAAACTGGCGGTCCTCCAGGACGTCACTGCCGAGGGCAGGAGCACCCCCGACAGACGGAGGACAGGCAGGGTCGGAGACCAGAGCGGTAGCGTAGTCAAGGCGGCGGGTAGAGGCGAAGTCAGCGACCGCAGCGACAAGGGCGTCAAGACTCGACACTGGAACAGACGGGTCTGTAACCAGAGAGGCAAGGACCCGAGGAACAAGAGGACGAGCGGCACGAAAGTAGTCAGACAGAGGAGGAGACGCAACAACAAGAGAAGACGGAGGAGGAGACGGGAGGAGGGGAGGACGAGACACGTGGGACCGGAGCAACATAGGGTGAGAGCGCGGGACGGGGGAGACAGGACGAGCACGGGAGGGGCGGCGAGACCAGACGTGAGAGGGAGGCGTCGGGTCAGGAGACAGAGGAGGGGACACTGGTGGGGAACGAGGGGGAAAACGAGCCGGGGACGAGTCCGGCGGAGGGAACACGGGGCCGTAGACGGGAAGAGGAGGAGACGGCAGGTGAGGAACAGGCGCAGGGTCAGGGGACGGAAGGCCGAGCAGACGGAGGGCGGACACCGGCGGGGACTGCTGCTGCGGCGACACAACACCAACGCCAGGGCCACAAGCTGCGCGACGGAGACCGCCCGAACCCTCCACACCGGCACCCCCAGAAGGGACACCCCCAGAGCCCGAAACCCCGCCAGCACCGGTACCACCCCCAGGCCCGCCGGGACAAGCCACGACAGGAGCCCCGGGACTAGTACCCACCTCAACGCCAGCACCCCCAGAGTCCACAAACAGCGGCAGCGACGACGGCGGCGGCGGCGGCGGCGGCGGCTGCAGCAACGGCCGCGACGGCGGCGGCGGTGGAGACGACGGCTGCAGCAGCTGCGGCGACGGCGGCTGCGGAGGCGGTGGAGGAGGAGACACCGGGGGAGGGACAGACGGCGAGGACTGCGCCGGAGGACTACCAGAGTCAGAAGACTCGTCGACCGGGACGACCGACGGGAGGGGGGTGACGTGAGACACACCAGAGGGGGCCGGACGGGGGGGCGGGGGGGGGGAGGGGCAGGGACCACCGGGGAAGGAGGGACCAGGAACAGGGGGGGAGTAACCGGGGGACCACGGTGAGGGAAGCGGCGGTAGAAGGAGACGGACTCGTCAAAGGTGACGTCGCGAGAGTGAAAGAAGCGGTGGGACGGCGGGTGGTAGAAGTGCCAGTCGGACGCGTCAAGGGGGAAACCGAGGAAGACGCAGGGGAGGGTGCGGGCAGTGAGCTTGTCCGTGCCAGAGGCACGAACGTGAGCAAGGCAGCCCCAGACGTGGAACGCAGACGCGTCACCAGGGGACCCGGTTCACAGAAGGGTCGGCGAAACCTGCGGCCGCTGGGGGTGCGGCCACAGGTTAAGCTGGTGAGCGGCGTAGCGCACGGCGAACGGCCACAGAAAATGGGGTGCACCAGCGTGGATCATGGAGGTGCGAGCCACCTCCATGACCAAACCGATGCGTCGCTCAGCGACCCCATTCTGCTGCGGGGAGTCCGGCAGGGTAAACGTCTGGGTGATGCCCTCTGC